TGCCAGAATGATCTTATGGTGTTGTGGAATAAACATCAATAGACCACTGAGTAAACTATTTTTTTCCTTTTGTAAATAAGATCTGATTTCATATATAAAAAGCCATTTACTTTTCATTCCGGCCAGAAAAAGGTGCCCGTTTTTCAAATCGAAAAAATCTTTCGATTTCGATTACCGGAGCACCAATTTCTCGTTTTCAAAAACGAAAACGAAAAATTCTTGCCGTTTTCGATTACCGGAGCAGGCCTGAATAATTACAACTTTACAAAGAAATCCGAAAAATCCGGTTTAATTTTCATAAAATTCCAATAAAAAGAAATCTCAAAACTTAAGGGGTGTATGGGAGAGAGGGAGTAGGGAGGGCAGTGGGAACTCAAGTGCAACAGCTGCTGGCTGCCCCTCTCCCCTCTGATTGGGATTCTCTTCAATCGGTCGGTTCCCGTTCTAATTGCACGCTCTTTCTGCCTCCGTATTGGTCTCTCTTACGTGCTGTAATGTTGCTCTCTCGTGCGCGAGAGCCGGCCTCTCTTGCCCTCAACTGGTTGACCTATTTTCCAGTTTGGTAATGTGTCAATGCGCTTGTATGTGTGTATCTGTGTGTGTTCATGTTTTCTGTATCCAATGTATCTCTCTCCACCTCCTACCATCTAACGCCTATGCTTTGTTTTGGTTTTGCCTTTTGCGTTGTGCCTTTTTTCCTTGTTTCGTTGGTTCGTTTGCTCGCTCGCTAGTTGGTTTTGTAACTCATGGATTGCATTCCCATTCACTTTGTTGTTTTCTTTTCGTAACTGCGTATTTGTTGTTGCTCGCTGGTAACGCTCTGTTGACTTACATTGTGGTTGCTGTTGTTGGTAGTGCCGCTGCTTTTGGAATTTTCACTAGAGAAATGATTAATTGAATTTGTCCAGATAGTTCATCTTTGCACTTGGCCGCCCCTCTCATCTTCATCTTCTTGTTCTTTAAGTGTGCTAATGGCGAAAACAACAAAAAAGAGAGTCGGAATCTCGGAATCAGTCTCTGAAAAGCAGTTTTAAAATGACACATTTTCTTATAGCTTGCATTTGCATTTTAAATAGCTTGCAAATGTGTTTAAAGCTAGTATCTAACAAAATTAAACATAGTTAAGCTTCATAAATTTATAAAAAATAAATAAATAAACCAAAATAAGCAATCCCATAGGTAGTTTTGAGGGGTTACTCTTTTTAATTACTTAGCTAATTTATAATAGTAATATTTTAAATATTAATGGAATTTGTTTAAAAAATTAGATAATATATATATACAAATAAATAGCAACACTGAACTTTAAATCAATTAAAAAATATCAAAAAGTAGGAAATAAGATATTTTGGGTTGTTGCTTCATTTTTGTAAGCTTTAATATTATTTAATAACCGCTTTTAAATGACCTAAAATCAATGACAATTGAAATAAGTATGCTTATTTGAAAGCCATTCAAACAATAATTTTTCCAGTGAATGTTCGTTCGTTTCCTGCGCGGGTAATCAGTAAAGTTTTTCGGCTAGATAAGCCCTGCGGGCATTCTTTATCTGGCAAGGTCTTCAACTGTCCTCCATTTTTGGGAACTTTTTACATCATTAAACATTAGGGCTGTTGGAAGGGGAAGTGCGCAGTGCATTTTAACACATTTGCTGAAGCAACTCCAACTCCGTTTGCCAATGACGTCTTTTGAAATGCTGGCGGCGTGAAAATCCCGGAAAATCCACCCCGAAAAATCGAACTGAGAACGCAAAAACTCCAGTACAAAACAACTACGCAAATTGTTGGATATTTCGATGTTTCGATGGATGTGCTTCACAGTTATTGGAGTTGAAGATTGGGCAGAGCGGAAGATGAAGAAGAACAAGAAGAAGCGGAGCAATCGCCCCCCTTCCACCGCAATTTGCTGACGTCGCCGGAGAATAAATGCCTACAGAGGTCATTCCAAAGGCAACAACAACGCCAGCAGCATACTCAACATAAAAGAGAAGAGAGCCCGAACACCCGAAAATACCAACAAACGTCGAATATCCATCAGCAGCAGCATGGATTTCAGCAGCAGTAAAAGCAACAACAGTACACCGAGCCGATGTAAACAAAATCGAATGAATTTCGAAGCATATAACAGCTGTGAGCCGCCGAGAGAGTGAGACCCCAAAGCTCCCCTGCACAAATACTTATACATGTATACACAGATACACACACGGGCACTCGCACTCGGTCTCTCTTTAACTGTTAAATTCGTGACGTTATCGTTGCAGACCAGAAAACCGGCCGGCTCTTTTCCGATCTGCTACACATAAGATAATGCGGCATTTGGGCATACTTTATGAACAGGAAGTTATATAGAACTGTATATGAAATCCTTTGAAGTTGAGAACTATAAAAAATATATACAAATTCTATTTTTACAACTATAAAAGGATGTATACTAAACTGCATATTGTAGAAAAAAGTTTTTGATATGAGTATTTTTAGCCAAGCATACTAAAAGTGTTTTCACCATATCACTTTGAATCCCTTTGGGGTTGAGAACTATGATATTTTAATATTTTTCACCATTTATTACTGTATATTATGTAAATATTATATTATTTACAACGACGATGACTAATCCGTGTCTTGACAAGAACATAGGATAGAAGATTGTTTTTGATTTTTTAAAATTTCTTTTAGGCAAGCATACTAATATTAAAACTGTTATACGTTATAACCAAATCTTTTAATTACCTTTTTAAAGAATCTATCTGTTCACTAGAGTATCTAAAGGCTACGTTAGCCGAACCTTTTCGTGTCTCTCTCGTTTGTTTTGAGGCTGAGGTTCGCTGCTCAACAGCTGTTTTCGCAACATTGTTGCTGCTCGGCCGCCAACAGCTGTTATCGCTCTGTTTTGTGCCGCTGTTCGCGCTGTTTTGCTCTGTTGTTGATAAAATAAACCAGAGCGTTACACACACACACACAGACGCACGGTCACACGCACACAGTTGCTGAAATTATGCTCTGTTGACAAGTGCTCCTCTGTTGTTTTTTTTTCTCAACTGCGTAGTATATTTTTGCTGCCCTTTTCCGTTTTTTTTTCTATGCTGCCCAGCAGATGATATGGTGGCGATGGCGTCATAGATACGGATAAAGCCAGGGCGATATAGGCTAGAGGTTTACGCCGATGGTTAAAGGCATCGGCGGCGGCGTAGAGGTCAAAATGACTCGGCGGCGGCGGCGTAGTAGTCAGAAAGAACCGGCGGCGGCGGCGCGTCAAATAAGGCAAAAAGGCCATTTTAATGAGTTATTTTTTTTTTTTTAAGTTTTATAAAGAACAATGACACTGAAGGCCGCGCTGAAGCTGCGCCGATGCCGCACCAGCGGCGCGCCGCGGCGCGCCGTTATTTTCATAATTTGGCGGCGGCGCGTCAAATAAGGCAAAAATCGGCGGCGGCGGCGGCGTGGCGCGGCGGCGTATATGTCTAATATAGGCTACTGCGTTGCAAAGTTAGCATATTATAATATTTTACATAATTTTCGAGTATTATAAGGCGTTCAAAAGTAAAATAAAGTACATTTCAGTTGAATTTGACAGCGATTAATAAAAATAGCCATTTAAAAATGTGACTTATTGCACTAAAAATCTTAAAATAACCTTGTTTGTTTAGATTCCCTTTAAGTTAAACTACTTTTCCTATAGATACCTTTATTTTTGATACCTAAGGTAGTATTTAATCTATATTCATTGTTATTAATTTATTATCATGATTCTTATTTGTATAATCATTAATTAAAAGCTGCTGAGCATGACTCTCACTTTTTGTGTCTATTCAACGCTATTTCAATAGATCTCATTAATGGAAAATATTGAATTAATTAAAGAATAATTATTTATTTCAGTACAATCTAAAATTTATAGATTATTATTTTATGTATGAATATTCATACATACATACATATGTATTTAAGTATGTAGTATACATTTATTCAGCAATATCGTTTTAAATTATAAATATAATATTATAATACAGTGTTTTTAATTATAATTTGTGTATTTTATACAAAAACAGTACAAGATAAGCCTTAATGAACTCAATAAATATGTGTATTTCAATTCACTCCTTAGGTCGAGGTAGATCTTAACATTGTATCTGATAAATACATCTGTATCTACAAAGTAAACAGAATCCTAACTGTCACTTTTCTGTTAATTTCCCAATTCCCAATGTTGGCCATTCGTTTGTTGTGCTGTTAGCCGTGGAAATTGCAGTTTTCCTCTAACATTTTTATGCTGCCACCTCTCTCTCTCTCTCGAGCGGTCTCGCACACACCTACACAGCCAGCGTTGTTGTTGTTTTGCTTTTCCAAGCAGGTAGATGCTATAGAAACGGCCATGTACACACGAACACAGCAGCGGGGGAGAGAGTGGCACATTAGAGAGAGCGCGAGGCGAGAGAGTGTGCGTGTGTTGGTGTGAGTAACTGTATCTCGCCGCTTGGCGAGTTGGCGCTACGTTCGCTCGCGTTCATTCTACTCTCGGGAGCAGACCGAATAAGTTCAAGCCAAAGCCAGCCAAGGCAGCACCAGCAGCGAACACCGAAAAGCAACGCCAAGTGAAAAACCCATCAGCGCATTCAACAAATAGCAATAGCTATACAGCTAGGGGCTTACCTTTGGCCATTCCCGCGGGAAAACGCTCGGAGAACTCCTTCGCCAAGCAATAAGTGGAAAAGAAAAAGTCAAAACAAATCAGTGCAGCAGCCGCTCCGGCGAGTGCTTCTATGTGTGAGTGTCAGTGTGAGAGAAAACTGAGAGAAAAGTGAAACGACGACCGGCAGCGAAAGCAAAGCAAAGCAAGCGACAAAGCAAAGTTCTGCCGAAAGTGCATCAGAAACAAAGCAAAGTAAAACAAGTGTGACCAAACCCCGAATAAACCGCAGTTTAACCCGTGAACAGTGAACTTTAACCCCCCGAAAAGTGCAACACCTGCAAGCTGACGTTACAAGCGGCCAAAATTGGATTATGCTTGGGCTCAGACGCAACTGCCACGACGACGCCAGCGACGCCGAGCATGTGAAGCTTAAACCGCTGCTCCCATCGCCGCCCCAGTGGCCATCATCATCGCTAGTTTCATCGCTGCCGTTATCTCAGCCGACCCTGCTCCTGCAGCGCCTGCAGCTTAACCAGCACCTGAACGAGCGCATCACCTTCTCCCTGGAGCAGTACCACAAGAACGTCATCAAGAAATTGGCTGCCAGTAGCCTAGGCAAGTTCCAGGTCTTCCGTCTTACCAAAAACGTCTGCCAGACTTAAGTTCCCACTCGGAAATAAACCCAAAAAATCTGAAAACTGAAAAAAAGTGCAAAAAAAGTGTTAATAAAAAAGTGCAAAAATACTCGAAAGTGCAATAGAAAGCAAAAAGTGAGAAATGTGGCGATCCATTAAGGCCAAGTTCAGGCTCTAAGTTCAAACAAAAAACAAAACAAAGAAAAATTAAAACACTCTAAAAGAGTATAAAAAATAATCCAAGTTTAACCCCCTAATTGGCATACCCCTCGCCCCAAAAAAACGTGAAAAATGTCCACCGGCCGCCGTTTAGCCAAACGCTCCATCATCGGCACCAAGGTGTGCGCCCCGGGTCCGGACGGCCTCTGGTACTCCGGCGTCATCGCGGACGTTAAGACGCCGCCCTCGTACTCAACGGGCGGGAAGCCGATTCTACCGTTATCGCCGCCGCCACCGCCATCGTCGCACACTTTCTTGGCGCCCGGCGACACCCAACTGAACGCCGATACGCGCTACATGGTCCGTTTCGATTTCAAGACCGCTGTCGACTCCGGTATTTCGTCCTCCGCGTCGTCCCCGCCCTCGGGCCTATCATCCTCCACAGATCCGTCGTCGTCGGTCATTGTGGAGGCGCGTCGCGCCGCCGCCGCTGCCGCCGCCAGTGTGCACATCAGTCCAGCTCAGGCCTTGCGCCGCAGCGCCATGATCAAGGAGTTCCGCGAGTCGGATCTCATTGGACCCGGCTTCCGATCCATTATGGAAACGGAGCTGCAGCCCGGCCAGCGGGTCTACTTTACATATAATGGACGCGAGCAGAGTGGTGACGTTATCCAGCACGATGCCAGCAAGGATGAGGTGATTGTGAAGATTACCACAATTGGAAATGAGGTGAGTCAGCGGGAAAAACCACGTAATTTTAAGCCCCAGTTAGGGGGTTCACCTGAATTATCAAGTTTGACGGGTTTTAGACCTTGTGGGGTTTACGGGAATTGATTGTACTTTGTCCATGGAATCCAGTTTGTATTGTCAGACGTAAAACCTTCCTCTGTAATATGAGATTACGAATACCAGATTTCATAAAAACTTCAATCCATTCTTTATTATTATAATTTCGTTTCGGTAAAAAAATAACTACTTAGGTTTGATTGAGGTATTTAAAAACCAAAAGTTTTGATTTCATTCTGAAGCCTCATTAGTTGGGAATTCTAAACAGTTTTGTTGTTTGCTTTTGAGCAGTAATGCTTCTTCTGCCCAGATAAGAAATTGATAGGAGGGGCTTATCTTCAAATAGAGAAAAGTTCATTTGGAATCATCACATATTTTTTTGGGAGGAGGATGCAGCTAATAAAGACAAAAGCGGCTGCTGTGCCGATGTCGGCAGCATCGTCATCATCGTCTCAGCATAATCATCATCGCCATCGGGGCGGCAGAAAAGTGTGTCAAGGTTGACTTGGCCACACCACACCCCCTTTCTGTCCCAGCCCCATGGCCGCAGCATACACATGCACATATGTATCTATGCTGTTATATACTCGCCTATTCGGAGCACATATTTACTCGCACCCAGTACAGTACCGCACCGCACCAAACAGTACACACTGTGTGTGTATGTAGTGTATGTGCAATCACGTTCTATGTGCAACTATGCAACGAAAAACAAAAAAAGAAAAGCACAAAAAATACTCGTCGAGGGTCGCATTCCGCTTTTTGGCACGTAATTGGGTTACGCTCTGGGATGGCCTTCTTGCGCGAACACTCTGATATATAGACCCTCTTCGGTTGAGGACGATTCGAGCCTCCAAGATTAGATTGGCGAAAGCTGAACATCCTTCAGATTTAATTATCTTTGCAGAAGGGAAAGTCCCCAAACCCTCCATAAATCAAAATAATATGCTGAAGCCAGAGAAAGGAATTCCTAAATTGAGTCGTAATTGATTACTGCGCCTTGTTCCTACATAAATTTTATATATTTTTCAGTTAATTCTGACTTTAATAATAACATTTTTTATAATAGCTTGGCATCTGTCTTACCTTATAAGATTGGCTAGATTTTTTTTCTACATTTTCTTTACGATTTCCTGATTAATTCCACTCAGCACACATGATCAACCTAATCCTCCAGCCACAGCCCCTTTGCCATTACGTCACTCGGAATCGTTGAACTGCTCGCTAAACAAACACAAAAACGAAAAATAAAACTGAACAACAACAAAAATTAATAAATAAAAGCGGCGAAAAATAATTCAAGAGTGAAACATCGGATGGGGCATTTATAGAATCGCCCCGAATCCAAATGCGAACCCAAAAAAATCTCAATGACGACGACGACGACGATGTTGCTGCTGCTCATGATGATGATGATGATGGTGTCGTAATGAAAATTTGTTTAGAATTCGGCTTTCGTGAAACAATTCGATAGAGAAACACCCACAAAAAAAAAAAAAAAAAACAAAAAGAAACAACGAGTAAAACAAGACCGGGGTAAAATAGAGACAATTGCAATAAATGCGCGACAATTTCAGGGCTAAATGGAGATATGTACATGACAATTGAAATGGCCTGATATTTCTACGCTTTACAGCTAATTATATAGATTAATTCCCCACCGACACAGCCGGCTGTCAGAAGGAGACGGCAACAAGATCGGAGATGAACTTTTCGAATTGCGTCATAAGTCAGGCAGGCAAGCAGGCACGGCACAGGCACAGGCACAGTCACAGGCACACAGAGATGCGGATACATGGATGCCGGCTGAATATAGATGGCAAAGATAGTTAGATACATGAGCGAAACACATGCATCTGGGAGATACATGCTCTCGGCTTGCCGGCTGACTGCGCTGCAGGGGGACAGGGACAGGGACATGGAAGGGGGCTAGAGCCGGCATCAAGCTGTGCTCCGTCTCCCTCTTTTCCTATCCGCACCTTCGGCTTTCTCAGTTCAGTTCAGTTCAGTTTTAGTTTTTTTTTTGTTTTTGCGGGCCTCGGGTTTTTCTTCTCTCTCTCTCCCGTCTAATAATCGCTTAAAACGCTTGTAATTGTTGCATACGACGAATGCCGAGATACTGCAAGCTAGAGATACAGCTACAGCTACAGATACAGATGCGAGACACAGGCACAGCGAGCTACAGATACGCGGTCTTCAATGCCAAGTCAGCTGCTCGTATCCGTATCTTTTCCGTGTGGCGGCGAGTCGATAAATTTGTCAGTTAGCTGGCTGCCAGATGTGTGGGCTTGTCCCCAGCTCGATGGCGGCCCATTGTATGCCCAGTGTATCCAGCAGAAACAGAAACAAACTGAGATACAGATACAGATACGGATACCCGTACTGTGACCCGATCAAGTTTGATATGTGCTGCCCAAAATGGGAAAAACTGAAAATGTATCTCCGATCGTCGGAGCTAGTTTGGCTTTACGTTTTACGATCGCGGCAGACCTCAAGTTTTCGAATTCGGAATCTTTCGGCATAATTAGCTATGGAAACGTGCGCGTTACAAGCTCCCAAACTCCTATGACCTCATCATGGGCAGCCACCAAAAATCGAATATAACTAGAGAAGTGAAGAGCTCAAGTTCGCTGCTGTTGTAAGTCAATCAACAATTGGTTTTTTTTGTTTGCTGCGGGCTGTGTGTGTATGTGTGTAAGTGTATTTCTAGTTTTTTGGCTCGTTTTGTAATCACGAAAGGGGGTGGAAATTTGTAACATCTATCAATAGTTGTCCTCGCTGGCATGTGATGGTCACGTGTGTCTGAGTGTGTGTGAGTTTTGGGCTCCAAAACTCAACACAAAAAACCGAAATTTGCTTTCGGTTCAACTTGAGCAATTGCCTTTGTTTGCCACAAAACTAGTTGGGGAGTGTTTTTTCGTCATTTTTTGTTCGTTCGTTATTTGTTTGAGTCGGAAACGTGAGGCAATTAATTCTAAGGTTATTTCAAACGAGAAACTTGTTGCACGCATTTCCATCGCCATCTCCATTTTCATTTACATTTCCACGTCGTTCACATCCAGATCCACATCCACATCCACATCCACGTTTACGTTTACGTTTACGTCCATTTCCATTCGCATTTCAATTACGATGACGTATAATTGCCGGGCCATGAATCAAGTGTCCAGTCTGGAGCGCATATAATTTGCAAGCTCATTTAGGGCCGAAGAATCCAGCACGAATGTCGGGGATAATTTGTCAGGAGTCGAATGGATGGACACACGGACAGGGACTCAAGACGGGTAGCCGCGTTGCCCATTCCGGTAATCTCTGCCCACTTCCGCCTTGTCTGGGGAGTAATTTGTAGCTGCTAGTGCCTCGTTATCTGTGCCCGTTTTACCTGTGTTTTGCATTCAAAACGAAATTCGTTTTAATGACATTGAAATTGGAATTGACATTGCCTCGGGATTCTTTATCGCACGCAACTTCTGGGCTTTTGCTACGGATTTTCTGGGTTACCCATTTCACCAGCTTTTTACTTTCGTTTCTCTGCCAACAACAAAAAGCCGATAAATAATTAACGTGTTCTTCTGGCCACCTCTCACTTTTCGAGCTGCGACCCATTTTGGGTCTGGCGGAAAGTGCACTTTGGCCATACGTCATCGGCCAGCTGACCGCCAGGTGAATGGCAATGACAGCGGTGGCAGTTGATTTGTAACTTTGCTTTCCCACCGAAATCCATCAGATAAAATAAATACTAAAGAGCTGTCAGGGAAAATAAAAGAAAATTCAAAGCTAAAGGTTTGAAATTATTGAGTAATTAGTTTAAATTCACTTATATTTCATATATATATTTCATTTCAGATTGATTCATAATTCTGAAACTCATTAATTGGCTAGTAAATCATGTATTTCCTTGAAATTTTCTCAGTGTTGAAGGTTTTCTCCTCGCCTTAAAAACATTGTGAGCCCGATAATTGGATTTGCCCAAAACTTTCCACACCAACTCGTATCGTGTGTGTGTGTTTTCGTAAATCCATTACCTCCGTGATCACATTTATCAAGGGTCCCTGATCAGCTAAGGAATTTTAGCGTTTATAAGGACGTGTCTGTTCCTGCTCCTGCTGCTTGTCGCGTTTCCTCTTCCCATATCTTGTCGGGGACTAGGACTACCCGCTGTTCGTCCCGGGACTCGATATCGAAATCGGCTAACGACCTGCTCGGGGTATCCTCTAACCTCTCGTTCTCGACGTAACCCTCTTTGCTGCATTGCTATGGTTTTATGATACCGGCAAAAACATAAATTCCTCGTTTTGTCCTTTTTCTGCCGCCTGTATTCCATGTTTTTGTTCATCCTCTTTTTGGGATTGAAACAGGCTAAAAAAGTGACTGGCGCAGGTCAGTTGAAGACCGCTCTCCTCACTTTGCCCTCTAATGACTAATCGACCTTGCCGGCAAACTCGTAGATCTCTTTCAGGTAGAAAGTCGCCGGCGTTTTTGGCAATTTCATACCGAACAATGCACTCCAATTGGAGGCCATAAATTTTGGGGTGAGAAAGAGAGTGCACATAAAACAACAAAAAAGTTAGGGGGGGAATGTTCGAAATCGGTCAAGCTGCTTCGCTGACCTTTTTGCAGGTTGAACGAACGACATGTTCTCGGTGGTTTTGGGTTACAAGTGGTTGCGGGTCTAGTCTCAGTCTGACTCACAGATCAGACCAATCAAAAGGGAGCTATGGCTATCCACTCACCCACAACAACAAAAGAGACAAACATAAAACCGAAGGTGACGAGCGCCGAATTCCCAAGCCGAAAACTACTTTCAAAAAATGCATACAGCTTGTTTCGGTTTCGTTTGAGTTTTGATATCAAAGCGCCTTTTTGTTGGCTGATTTAAGCTTTTTCAAAAGCGGCCTTTCAGCATAAGCTTGGCCAGACACACACACACAGCACACACATAC